CTTCCCGGTTCCCTTTTAAGTTCATGACGACGTTTTTTCTGTACGTAATTGCTTGGTGAAGTGCAATCTTCATCGTTACAACATTTCACTAAATACATCGCTAACTTCATCCTAAACTCGGAGATTGAAATGTAATCGCAAAAATGGTCTGCGGCGCCTTGGGGGTCACCGGTGACCCCCGCCACGAAAAAAATGCATAAAACAAGTTTATACAACTAAACTTATCTGCTGTAAATAATATTTCAACATAATATGCATCGCATAATGAAAACTTCATGTTGGCGCCTTGGGCAAGTCACGTAAAATTCGCGCGGCAGCCAACGTGTTAAGTCGACTCGGGCCGCGCAACTTCGCTTCGAAGAAGAAGCAGCAGCTGGTGCTAGAAGAGGCTCGATCAATGAAGTTTAAACGCAGTCGGCTCAGGAGAAGAGACAGCCCTTGTCAGGTTCTATTACTCTTGAAATAACGTAATGATCGCGCGGTGCCGAATGACGAATGTTTTCCGAGCGGACCAAATTACAAACGCGTACACGTATTGATCCGAAATAATTGAAAAATAATTGGCTCGATAAAAACGGCCTCGATCGAATCGGAATCGTAATTACATACGCGACGAGGTCGTGTTTTCGTGGCGGCCGACGCGAAGATGAGTCAGTTACGGATTCACGATTATTTGCAATCTTTGTCGGGGTCTGCTAATAACGAACTGATAAAAAGCAGGGCAAGATTTATTCAAAAGTCCGCGAGAAAATCGGCTAAAAACTTGTGTAATTCGAAGAACGGAAATACATAGATAGATTCGCGTCGAACCATCGCGGTCGCATCTTTCTTATCATAGTTATCTTCCGGGAACTGTCTATCTCGCAATAAAGCGTTTGATCCGCGTCGCTAATTAGCAAAATAGCGTACACGCGAAAGAAAGAGAGAAAAAACGCCGTTAGCGTGCCGAGCGTCACGTAATACCTCGTTCCGCTTCCCAAGTTCGCAAAACGTCGAACAGACCGTCATTAATCAGCTCCTTCCACGTGTCCGTCCCGACGGTGTTTCGTAAAACGAAAAAAAGAAAAAAATATAACCCGCTCGCTAGAATCAATAAATCGATCGTTCCCCGGATGACACCGCGTGTTTCGACCAATCGATGTCGTCGCCGCTCTGTTTCGTCGCAGTCACCCGGCTGTTGCGAGACGCGGATTGCGTTATCTGCGAGCGGGAAGGCGTTTTTGCAACGTTGCTAATTGCGGGCAGAAGGAGATCGCGCTGACGCCTCGGAGAAATCAGATCGCAACGCATAATGCGTCAGCTTCATTAAAACAAATCGTTCGCAACATCCTCGGACGACTTCTGCTCCGATTCCAGCTCGCTTTTTTCTTTTCGTTTCAATTTTCCAAGCCGCAGTTGCTCGCGGTACAATTTCCCAAGTTGCACTTCCCCGAGTTGTAACTACTTATGTTGTAATTACCGAAGTTATAATTCCTCAACCATTTCGGAGTCGAACGACGTCGCGTCGCTGTTGGCGAACTTGCTGTTTTTTTTTGTTGAGTAATTTCAATAAACGACAGTTTCATTTCTTAACCCTTTCGCTACGGCGGGCCTCGCCGCGGAGTCCCTCGTGTAGAACGGAGCACCCTGCCGAAAGCAGGAACATTAAGCGCGCGCAGTCTTCAGCATTCGGGGCCAAGTCTTTTGCTTCAAAAACGACATTGTGACACTGCTTTTAGAAGCAAAATGATTTCCGTTCATAACAATTCGTTCATAATTTTCCATGAACGTATTTTTAATTCAACAATACATTTAATATTTTTACATTGCACAACAAAATAGTAACTATAATCATAACATATTATTGAGCAATAATTTTTTAATAATCATATTCTGTATGAAACTTCTCAAAACACGGATACACACATAATCCAACATTGCAGTTCTCACATTGTTATCGCGTTTGGACTGCTTTTGTCGTTCTTTGCGCATACCACACATTTTCTTAGTGGATTTTTTCTTCTCGTTTTGTTATTTACGTAAATTGATGGCAAGTGCCTTGCAGTAAGACGCGTTGGATTAATATGACCAGATTTATTACAATTGATCGTAGTTTTTGGTAGATGATAGCGTCTGCGAACAGAGGAAAGCGAGGCGATAGCCCTTGTTTTAACTTTTGGCTCCATTGTTGTGACCGGTGACTATAGTCGCCCGTCTTGTGTAGATGGCATCTTGTGGCCGGTGACTATAGTCACCCATCGTATGCGGTTGTCGTTTTGTGGCAGGTGACTATAGTCACCCGTAGTAGCGAAAGGGTTAAATTTATGTTCGAATTTTCCAATCGTCAGGTCTTACAAAATCTTCAGAACGTCTTTTGCGGAGCTGTAATTTCTCTTCAAGAGAGCCGTAATTCTCCGTCGTAATTCTAAAGCGTCTCGAAGTCGCAACTGCATGAGTTTCAAGTCCTCGATTCTCAAGTTATTATTCTTCGAGCATCTGATATCGAGGTTGCGTTTCATCGCGATTGCAACGGCAGATAAGCTGAAAGATGTAATCCAGAAGGTCCGATAGTTAGGCCGATGAATCACCGGTGAAACGAGAACTAACAATATGCCGGTGTTCTTCTCTCTGCACGTCGTGCGTGCACGTGACGATCGAACCGCATGGAGAATCTGTGCGAGGAACGCGGGGGACTTGCCGCGTATCGATCCGCACGTGGCCGCAATTGGAGCGCGAACTTCGGTGGCATTACACGTTTTCGTAATTCGATCGATTAATTTACCTTATGCAATAATCTGCGCCGCGATAGACCGTGCAACGGCTGGAAACGGTACGCGTTTTCCCTCTGAAACCGTTTCTCCGTCGCCGGTTCTCCATTGCTAAGAACCTTTATTCATCGGAAGCGCCGACGTTGAGAACAATGGATCGATTAACCAGTCGTACGGCGTTCCTCTTTGCGGAACATAGATTCTCTATTTCCATCGCACCGCGCCGGGGTCAATCGTATAGTCTTCGCCGGTGACGCGGCGCGCGATCCGCAATTACTACGTCAGATGGTAACGGACCTTGCCCATGAACTTCTACCGTAATCGAATCAGATTGCTCGATAATGGACATTCGGGATCTGCGATCACGTTTCTCGATGTTTCTCATCCCTTCGGGATCGCGTTCCATCCTGCCTACACGTGGAAGCCCGGCCGTAATTTGTTGTTCATTTGATATCTTCCCCCCCCCCCCCTCCGGTTCAATTTGTTTTCCATGATCGAGCCCGCGTGAGTCACCGTAATTCGCTAAAATTGTTCGCGACCGTTGAATGAGAAGATTGCAATCAACGTTGCTATCGAAGCAAACAATCCATTGTTTAACGACCATTACAGCGAATCTTGCTACATCAGCGTCAAACCGCGCATGTTTGCGATTGACGTAAATTGAATGCTGGAAAGGTAACGCTGAAAAAATTCAATACCGGGGAATATCTCTTCGCAGACATTTGCAGATTAACACGTTGAAGGCCACCGGGGGATCATCGGTGACCGGCACTTAACTTGGCGGTGACCGGCGCGCCCAAGTTGCCAGAAATATATATATAATTTAAAACGAATGTCAATATCTAGAATTTTGTATTATTACCATCGTCAATTCAAACAGTGGCCCCTGTCGCAATTAACATGTCGAACATGGTTATGCACTGTAACTTATCTGTTGCAGATAATATTTCAACATTACATGTATTAGATAAATGAAAATTCATCGTGGCGCCACGGAAAATTTCTGTAAAACCGACGTGGCATTCAACGTGTTAACCGGCGGAAATTGTACACGAAATCGTTTTACCGCGAAATCGACAGCGTTTCGAAGCATGTCGATTTTGTCCTTGGGAATCTGACAAGTAATGTCTCCCTAACTGACGCTCGGATCGTGCACAAAAATTGGACAATTTGGGAAGAGGAGATACGATTATTCGAGCCTTGTGGCTCGTTTTTATAATTGCTGACAATTTGTAACTATAGAAACGAACCGCAAGGATCGAAAGAAGGAAGAAAGGGCAAACTTAACTTAACTTAAATTAAAATAATGGAATTATTATAAAATATAAATTATTTAATTTTATTAATTAAAATTATTGAAAATTTAAGATTTTAAACATTCTAATTTTAAAACTCAATTACAATTGGTTTAATAAAAATTTATCAAATAAAGTAAAATAAATCATATTAAATAATTAAAAAATACTTATAAAACACAGATATTATTTAATTTTATTAATTAAAATTATTGAAAATTTAAGATTTTAAACATTTTAATTTCAATACTCAATTACAATTGATTTAATTAAAATTTATCGAGTAAATTAAAATAAACTTAAATAATTAAAATACTTATAAAACCCAGAATATCGTATATCGAAAATATCGTACAATAATTGAATAATCAATTAGGGAGACATCACTGTATTTAGAATGAAGTCGCGTTTGCGCCTGTCTCTGCGACGAGTCGAATCAACGGAAAGGCAACCACCCCTGCGACGAATCGACGTCCGTCGCCTCCTCGACCTTCGTTTCACGAAGATTACGATCGCGCCGTCGCTTCGATCGCGCCGCGAAGGGTGCATCGATGCATTTGGGAATCGATGGGGAAACGTTATACCGTCGGACTCTCGTTTGCCTGACCGATGACTCAGGTGTCCTTCCTGTATAGTTAACGATGCTTTCAGGCTAATGGGCTTTCTCGTACCTGCCAGGTTGCTAACCTATGCCCGCGTTCTGTTCGCAGAGTCGTGGGTGGAACTGAATCATGTACCTGACAGGATAACGCCGTTGCCGTTCAGCAGCGGCGGGGAGGAATACCTGCGACTCCTCAGGGAGGCACAAAGGGATTCCACACAGTCATCCGCGAGGCATTCTTTGGCCTCGTCCCGCCGGGACACACCGAGAGATAGGTAAGCTTCACTCACCTCGAGATCATCCTAACCTTCCTTCGACGATCCGTGAAATAAGAAACGCAAACTTCGGGATCGCCTGATCCATTATGTAAACGCGAGGCCCGCAGTTCGAGGTCCTGAAGGGGTCGAAGATCTCTTCGACTGCAACGGGAATGAACCTTAGCCGTTCTAACCGATAGTTTGCCGATCCTTTCGCTGGACTGTTGTCGCTACAATTTTTAACCCTGGAACAACCCCTTCTATCTTTCAGCGTAAGTAACATTGCGCCGGTGATCCAAAATAAAATCTTAATGATATTGAGATATTATTTAGTGTTTTCAGAATATAGAAAAGCCTAATAACTCGATACCTGAAGAGCAATTTTGTTTGTTTCTTCGCAAAAGTACGGTACGAGTTGGGAGGATGAAGAAAAGACAAATTAAAAATTTTCTGGCAATTCCAGGGGAACGTATTACTAAATTCTATATTATATTATTAAATTAATATTACTAAATTCTCCCTAATTGACAAGAATAACTGACAAGAATATGGACAATGGCTCGTTTTTATAGTAACCGATTGTCAGCAATCATAAAAACGAGCCGCGAGGCTCGAATAATCGTATCTCCTCTTCTGAAATTGTCCATTTTTGTGCACAGTCTGAGCGTCAATTAGGGAGAACTTACCCGTACATTTTTTTAACTTTTCTCCGGATCACTGGGCGCCCCGGATTGGTTCAACGATCCAGGTGATCGCGTTAGAAAGTATCCGCGTTCTCGTTTTCGGAACGAAGAAGCGGTTACGAGAAGCGATACCGAAGACACGTGAACCCATCGGTAATCGATCGCTGGCCGGTAGAGAGGAGTGGCCGGAGGAGTACGCGGTGGCTCTTGCATTATGAAATCGGTCTACCTTCCAGAAGCCGAGCCCGTGTCGGAGCTCCACTGGAAAATCTGGTTTCGCTTTGCTGGCCTCCGGGCGACCAGGGAAAAGAAAGAAAGAACGAAAGAAAGATAACTAACTGGTTGCATGAGTCAGAGATGCCGGGGTGCATGGCACACTGTCGGTGGATCTTTTTCTGGCCGGCCTCCTTTGTACATGTGGGCGTTGGTACGCTCCCAAGGACCGCGCGCCGGATCGAAAGAAGGAAGAAAGGGCAAACAAACCGGCTCGCTTGCCGAGCCGCACGTCCGTGGACCCGACGTTTTTTTGCTCGGCTCCCTCTGCCTTCCACTGCGCGACTTTTATGCCCGCCATTCAGCCGGCGAGGTTCTCTTGCTACCTTAACTCGGAATTCTACCGCCCCGACTCTCCTTCCAAAAATCACTCGACGACGTCTCGGCCCGGGGACCCCTTTAACAGGACACTCGAAAAAGCGGATTTGCATTTCCGAGCTTTTAACGACCCGTCCAGCAGCAGTCCCCCTCGCTACATTGTGCACCCTAGTTATTAGACTGCGGATGTTTGTGCAAATTCTTATTTTCATTCATTATTTTAAAAAAAGTCAGTCAGAATTGAAGAGAAGCTTCTTTCGTCTACTAAAAAACCTTAAAAATATATAATATATTTACATATATTTTTATATTTATATATATTTATATTATATTAATATTATATTTATATATATTTATATTATATTAATATTATATTTATATATATTTATATTATATTACATTTATATATATTTATATTATATTTATATTATATTTATATATATTTATATTATATTTATATATATTTATATTATATTTATATATATTTATATTATATTATATAACCTTAAAAATATATATAAAATAATCTTCTAAAACAATTTAACCTTGTTCACTGCAAAAAGAACGTAGAAATGCTATTAAACCTAGTCAATTTATCAATTTTCTTGGATTATAAAAATCCGCCTGTGCCATAAATGCGCAAAGATCCGCAGTCCGCTAATTATTAAAGTTCGAGGTCTCATCTTCGGATGTCCATCTTGCAGTTTGAAACAGTCCCCTGCCACGCAGTGCACTGCTGCACTTAACCGGTGATTCTAGACTGGCAGGCTTCAGAAGAAAGGCTCTCTGTGCTTTCATCTAACAGTAAATCGTGGCTCCATTATGTCCTTATTCAATCTATCATTGGCAGCCAAGATGGCTCCCAAATACGACGTAATCAAGCCGGAGTTATTAAGGACGGACAAGCCGGGACACGTAGGATTACTTATCGTATTTTTGCACCGCCTCCAGGCCAACTGTCTATCCTCCCAACGCGACGCTATTATATAGTATCTTCGTCGCGCAGCATTATTCAACTCGACAGTTCCTCGTGCCTCCTCGAGCACTCGGAGAAGCTTTCGCGAGCGAGGAAATCAAACGTAGCGATTTACGACGCAGTTTTTTCCCCGGTTTTCCGTACGCGCGTTCGGAGATAGCACTCCTCGAAGGCCGCCAGCGATTAGGCGTGCATCGCCGTCATCGTAGATAAGCGGAATAGCCCGCGTCACCGCTGCATTGTCCTATTGGAAGATAATCGGGGTAACGAACTCCTGCCTCCTTTTGAGTTTATCGTACTCGTTTCGTCCTTGTTCAAGCCTCTCGCGAGTCAGGATTGCAGCGACGCAGATGCTCGATGAGGTCATTGTTGTCCGTGATACGAAGAGTCTGCGTTATCGTCGTAGTTCAGCGGGAAGGATCGTTGAAGAATGCAGAAAAACATGGGAACGCGTGTATCGTACGATCCGCGGAGGTCAACCGATACAAAATCGCGGGAGTCATCGATGAGTAAGACTCCCGAGAATGATCGCGAGTTCGTAGAGAAGGCTGACGATTGACGACGCGGTTCATCGATTTTCGCGGGATCGTGTAAATCGAAATGTTTGTCTCGTTGTTGCAGCCCGAAGAGCCCGCCGAACAGCCCCAACACGGAACTCTCGACCGAAGACGAGCTCAAAGGAGTCTACATCAATTACAGCTGCAGCAAGGTCAGTTCGTCATCGATTCCTAATATGTATGTAGCGTGTATAGTAGCAGAATTCTTTTGGCAATCGTTTAGAACTATGGACCTTCGCGCGAGCTAATAATTGCATGCATCGATCCTGAAATTCGGTTAACCTTCTCGCCGGTTTATTCATTCCGGCCTCCCGAGTGCATCAAATTCGGTGGTCCGGTTATGTATTCCGTTCTCGATCGATTGCTTTCTGGCTGGGATAGGATAGAGGAGCCGGTTACTGTGGGCTGATGGAAATTGCTGCGCCTTTCGAAACATTCGAAACTGAAGGAAATAAAAGGATGCAAAAATGCATTCGACAAATACAAAACGAATTACAAGTGTAGAACGACTTTAAACAACTTTAAAACTGGATTGAGTGACCTGAATTTTTTTTTAGATAACAGAGGAGTGACTAAGACGATGACTAAAATGTTTTTTTTAAATTTTGCCATTACTTGGAATGACAAAAAAGAGAAAATAAGATTCCCGTTTCTTAACTTTTTCATAGGAACCTGTAACGAAAATTTAAAAAATGTAGGAAAATTTATATTACTGCGGACTTCTTATAGTTTTTGGTCAAAATCGTGACAAAACTGCGATCTTCGTCATTTTTCAAAGTTTCATTATAGGCTCAGATAAAAGAGTTAAAAATAATAAAAATAGATAATAATAAAAACAAGAGTCTTTTTATTTTTCTTCGCCATTACAAGTAACAGCAAAATAAAAGAAAAGACATTTTGGTCATTGCTCAGTATACTAACCCCCCCCATCATCTAAAAAAAAATTCAAAACACTTAGTTCACTTTTAAAAAAGTTCTTGCGTTCTAAAAAGTGTACCAACACTTTTGTCGGTCACTGTGTGCCCGAAAACAAACCAAAGACACAGCAGATTGGTCACCCACAGTAACCGGCTCGACCACCCTATCGGGACACAGCGACGTATGATCGACGATCATCAATTTATAATATTTTTATTTATAAATCGATTTCGATTCGATAAATAACGAATTCATATTCCCGGCATTCGCTGGCGAAATCGAGTCGTCGACGATCATCCCCGGCCTATTTTCAATGGAATTTCACGGCGCGACGTGCAACTGGTTTCATCGAGCGCCGTAGTCAGCGAGAAGTCCACGGCTCGCTGACTCCTCGTGTGTGCCAACCCCTTCCGTATTTGTGGGTCACGAAGCACCTGTGTTCAGTAACGGGTTCGCGTGATCGTCCCTTTGTCCCTCCGATCGATACGTTTTCGGAGCCACGCCGACCTAACGGTTGTGAACATTTACGCGAATTTTCGAATGTACGCGCGCGACGATGCATGAGCGAGAGCCTATGGTCCCGATAAAACGGTGGGATCCGTCTGTTTGCGAGCGATCCACACGGATTGTTTGTCGCTCGAGTGGCGCGACCGCGTATGGAAAATGCCCAAGCTGTTTTTATCGTTATCCGCGTAAACAGTGTCTAACAAGTTCGGTAAATACGGGCGGCAGGCAGGTTGACTCGCGCGACACACGCGATCATCATCATCCTGTTATCGTGTAGGAAACGGTGCACGGAAATAGCAACAAAGACAATCGTATCGGGCGGAATGAGTAATGGTGATAACGAGCCGCGAAGGAGCCGCGTTAAGGATTTTCCATGAGTCTCGTTGCTCAATCGGCGCGTTGTTTCGAGTGCCGGGAGCCGGTGGCCACCCTCCTCCTCCCCCGCCGTTCGAGCCTCGAGGTCTTGGAAAGTGCAGCAATCTCTTTGCTTCCCGGTTTCTTTGAGCCGCGCTGCGTTCGGCCGTTTAGATAACATATTATAAATAGAATATATCGCGAAGAGGCGCGGCGTCGTCGCGCCTTCTCTCCGAGGCTGCACGCGGGACATGCACCGTGAAGAAGACGATTTTCTCGAGGCTGCCGGCTATTTCAATCGCGGCGAGCCAGCCGCGCGTTCTGTCCGTCGGACAACGGAACGAGGTCTCCGCGGGTAATGCGAATGAACGGCCTTGATGAAACGGCCAGTCGCCGGTGGAACGGCCGCTTCCCGCCGCCGCTGCGGCGATTCCGATGATTCGACGACGCAGAAAACGGTGCCCGATACACGGGACCCGACGCGCCTGTTACGTACCTTCGCCAGCTTGTGTTCGTCTAGGCGAGGTCGGCTTTGCAACCAACTGTTTCGTCCAAGGCAGGGGTGTCAAACTCGCGTAACTAACCTACAGAGCCCTGAAAGCAGCTTGCACGCGCTCGCCTTATGAAAATGACAAGACTGAATTTAAAACGAGACATCGGGAACTAGACATTTGATCGTCGATGCTAGGTTCGCCGCTAATGATAGCTTTCAGAGATCTGTGGAATGCAAGGAAACGTTCGCGTTACCATAACGATTGGTAAAGTTTTATATAATAACCATCGAAAATGGAAGCTCGTCTGCCAAACACTGTGGGGCAGGGGTGTCAAACTCGCGGCCCGAGATGAACATTTTTGATGTCAAGTATCAGGACGTAAACAATAATTTAACTTTATATGTGTTTATTACAATGTACCAGTCAAAATAAAAATATTTGTTTCTATGAACATTGATTTTTTTTTGCGGCCCACCTAAAGTTAAGCATTGTTTATTTGGCCCAAGTTAGCTTTCGAGTTTGACACCCCTGGTCTAAGGTCTATCGCGACGTGGCGTCGTTGTTGTTCGTTTACTTTTTACGGGACACAATCCGTTGGCAGAACAGGGAGTATAAAAAATCGTAACCGGAGAGCACAGATTACGATCGACGAGAAAATTACGGACATACGATACAGCTAGATCGCGGATTTATACGCGCTTATGGCAGAAGTGCGTAGCTGAAGCGTGGAATCGTGGAGACGTACGAAGAGTTTAATAATATCGTTACCTAGTTTTCTCGAATTTATAAGGAGATTTTTTATATGGAGACAAATAATCGATTTAATTTATAATATTTTATAATATTATTATAATATTTTTATTTGTAAATCGATTTCGATTCGACAAATAAATATTTATCTCCTTTATTTTCATCGAATTTATATTCCTTACGACCGTGACGGCAGATCTTTATTTTGTATAAATATCCGCAGTCTGGATGTAACTAACAGAGCGACAGGACTGTTTAAAAAGATCGATCAGTGGGTTGTTACCTTATTTACATCGACAATCGTTCGATTAACGCCTGTGTGGAGGTCATAAAAAGTTCCGCGTTGATCGATATAAATTGCGAAGTCTTAATCGACGAACAGGATACATGGACGACAGGATATGCCCCACATTTTCTAGAATATCTAATATAATTTTCTAAAATATTTAAAAAATATACTTTACCAACGAAGATGACGTCGTAACATTTCTTTCTAAGTTCTAAAGTGGCGATACCGGTAAACCTTGGAACAGATTGGTAATCGTAGCAGGTAGTAGGCATTATCTCTGTCATAATGTGGTGGTGCATTGTATCTGTAAACATTGAAGTCGAGTAAACATTGAGCCGAACGTAAAGCATTCGGAGCCCGATTCTAATACGTTTGGGCTCTCGTTGCAACAAGCTCTTATTGAATCGAGATTCTATTGAAAGTCCATGACATTGTGTGATCTAGTGCACCAAGATTCTATCCTATCCAGGGCTCCATTTTATCGTGACCTTGTGGCATAAAAAGACTCGTTGCAACGCGGTGTAATCACATTTGAAGGCCGCAACGTCATGATCATACAGAGTGACCCAAGAACGACTCGCAGTCCGAAAGTGAGGAGGTTCCTGAGGTCATTTGAAGCAACTTTTTCCTTAGCGAAAATGCAATCCGCGGCTTCGTTTACGAGTTATTAACGAAAAACGGCGACCAATGAGAGGCGAGCTCGACTGACGCAAGGCGGCCCAACCAACGAACGCACGAAGCCCCCATTGGCTCGGCCCTTTCGCGCGAGCCATCTCGCTTCTCATTGGTCGCGGTTTTTCGTTCATAACTCGTAAACAAAGCCGCGGATTGCATTTTCGCAAAGGAAAAAATTACTTCAAATATCCTCAGGAACCTCTCATTTCTCTCTTGTGCAATAATTTTGGGATATTATGTATCGGTAGCTTTCCAAACGGAATCAATTTTTTAAAATTGGTCCGAATGACTTGAATATTTTTTAGATGACAGAGGGATTAGCCTACTGGACGACGACTATAATATTTCTTTTTCAAAGTTTGCTGTTACTTGTAATGACGAGTGGCCGCATGATAATCCGTAGCCTGCACGAACATCCTGCTTGTTAGTTTAACCCCTTAACGTGCACGCTCGAGTTAACTCGAGCGCGCTAAACTGGCCAAACTGTGCACACTCGAGATAATTCGAGCGGTGTTGTACTTTATGTTGCTATAATTTTTCACACTCGAATGCAATTGAGAATTGAAAATAACAATGTGAAAGCAAAAAAAAAACAATCGTTTTATTGATATTTATCATTTACATGGGATTGTAAGCTATAACACTTACTTATTCAAGTATAAAATATATCCTTTTTCTACTTATCACTTACGACTTATCTCTTCCTTGTGAGCCGCTTTCCGACAGCGTATTCATATTCAGATTCTGATTCGCTCATTTTTCAATATATATTTTACTAAAGTATAATGTAAAATAAAATGTAATAATAATAATAATAATAATAGTAATATTCTGAAAATTAGAATTGCAATAAAAATTTTGATTATTTTTGTA